TTTAATTCACATACCTATAAATATTATGAAACAATAAGAAATCAATAATACAGGTGTTACGTATAAATTTCAAGATGGAGATAGACATTTTGTAGTACCAGCATCTATATAGTATTTTTTTTAATGTTAGAATGTACTTTAATCGGATAGTTGCAATTTGAATTAAGTTAACAAATACGTATTGTAGCGGTAAGCATAGATTGTTTTTTATTTATAGTAAATTGTTTTTAAGAAAACTAATATTAGCAATAAATGTACAGGTACAAATAATACATTTTATATTTTTAAATTGTATTTATTCCTTTGATAACTTTTAGATGATGTCAACAAGATACGTTTCTTTTATATCTGGAATAGTAATAGCCTCATTGACATGGGCTTTCAGTTTATACCTCTATTCAAGGTTATCCCAAAACACCAACTCTGTCAATCCAACAATATTGACGTCAGAAAATTCAAAGGTAGCAAAAGAAGCCACATTTAATCATAAAACATATAATGATCAAGAATTCAAATTACATAATAATTTAATTAATCATCATGATAAAGAAAGTATCATAGATAAAGGTACCTATAATTTAAAAGGAAATAATTATAAAAATAGTGACACACTTTTGCAACAATTACAACCTGTACCAGTGAAACCTGCTGTAACTTTAGGACAAGGTACTTTAAAGAAATGTCAGAAAGCTACAGTGTAATTTTAATTACTTATTATATTATTATATCATATGTTAAATAAGGTTCTCTTTATCAAGCATTAATCTAATTACATTAATAATGTATTTATAGGTTTAGATGAACTAGGAATGGTTAAGAATTATAAGGATCAACAAAAACGAGATGAAGGATATAAAAATTATTCCTTTAATATTCTAGTATCAGATAATATTGGTATACATAGAGAATTACCAGATACAAGACATAAACTATGTGAAATGCAAAAGTATTCTAATAAATTACCAAATGCTAGCATTGTTATGTGCTTTTATAATGAACATTATATGACACTATTAAGATCTTTACATTCTATTATTGAAAGAACTCCTAAAAATCTGTTACATGAAATTATCTTAGTAAATGATTGGAGTGATAGTAAAATTTTACATGAAGAAATTAAAATGTACATTAACAATAATTTTAATGGTAAAGTGAAATTTTTTAAAACAGATAAAAGGGAAGGATTAATCAGAGCAAGAATATTTGGTGCAAGGAAAGCAACTGGACAAGTTTTAATTTTCTTAGACAGTCACATAGAAGTAAATAAAAAGTGGATAGAGCCTCTTCTATTACAAATTGCTCAAGTCAAAACTATTATAGCTATGCCAGTTATTGATATAATTAATCCAGACACATTTCAATACACTGGTAGCCCTCTGGTAAGAGGTGGTTTTAACTGGGGTTTACATTTTAAATGGGATAATTTACCAGTTGGTACACTGGTACATGATGAAGATTTTATAAAACCAATAAAGTGAGATTATACATTGTTTTAATTGTAGGCGTATTTACCTAATAATTCTCTGTAATATATATATAATAGTAATTATTACTAAATAGGTCACCAACAATGGCTGGAGGATTGTTTGCAATAGATAGAGAATATTTTATAAAGTTGGGGGAGTATGATGCTGGCATGGATATCTGGGGTGGTGAAAATCTTGAAATATCATTTAGAGTAAAAAAATAATTTATGTATATATTTATAATAGTGTACTTCTTACTTCAGTAACAGTTTATAATGTATTCCAGATTTGGATGTGTGGTGGAAGTATTGAATTAATACCATGTTCAAGAGTTGGACATGTATTCAGAGGAAGAAGACCATATGGTGCATATGATCAACATGATGCTATGTTGAAAAACTCATTACGTGTAGCCTACACTTGGTTAGATGAATATAAAGATTACTTTTTAAAGAATGTTAAAAAAATTGATTATGGTGACATTACAGAAAGATTAAAGTTACGAGAGAAATTGAAATGCAAAAATTTTGCATGGTATTTAAGAGTAGTATATCCTGAGTTAGCATTACCAGATGATAACAAAAATAAATTAAAAGACAAATGGGCAAAATTAGAGCAGAGACCAATGCAACCTTGGCATTCTAGAAAAAGAAATTATACTGATGAATATCAAATCAGACTTTCTAATTCAGCCCTGTGCATTCAAAGTGAAAAAGATATAAAAACCAAAGGCTCAAAACTTATTTTAGTACCATGTTTGAGAATTAAATCACAAGTAATGAAATCTAAATAATAATACTCTTTAAAACAATTTCTTATTTAAATTGATAATTATATATAACTCTCCAAATTTGTACAAATTTTTATAGATGTGGTATGAAACAGATAAAAAGGAACTAGTACTTGGACAAATGCTTTGTATGGAAGGAGCAGAAAAAATTCCAAAACTTGGAAAATGCCATGAAATGGGTGGTAATCAAGAATGGCACCACAAAAATGCTGTAAGTGTTTACTGGTTTATTTATGCAAAATATATTTACTATATAAGGTAATTTTTTTTTCTAGAATGGTATACCTATATATAACATGGCAGCTGGTACATGCTTAGGAGTATTACATGGAACAAAAGGTGCTCAAATTGTAATGGATTTGTGTACTAAATCAAATACAAGTTTTATATCATGGGATTTAGTACGCTCTAAAATTCTTTCAAAGGAAATTAGGTGACATCAGTTGAAGAGAATGTAGTTAAAAAAGGAGGATAAAAATTAGATTTCTAGAGAAAAATAAAAGTAATAAAAGAATTAAAATGATAAATTTTAAGGAACACTTGTGATATATAACAGGTTATAATAACAATTTCAACTTCTTTACATTGTTTTTACACTTTATATTATAAAATGATACATGACATTGTAATTAACAGGAAAGTGCATAATTTTTATTTTACTTTATACATGTTTTTTATATTTTTATTAACAAAGGTATACTTATATTAGTTCGATACGCATTTTTAGTAGAAAAATATAAAACTAACAATTGAACATTAAAAAAAAGGAACGCACATCTATAATTGATAAGTTTGCCAATTCTAAGTACAAACTTTCAATGTAATGCAATAATTAACTTAGCTGATATTTTTTTTTTCACAGGAATGATAAAACTCAATTTCATTAAAAGTACTAATATACTAAATGTATTTACATATATATTTCTATTTGTACATATTACAAATAACTTCTTTGTATTCACGTTTTTTTATAAAATAAATGAGATTGTTAACACTCTCCCTTTTATTATTTCATTCTATTATTTATGATAGTAAGGAAATATTGAATGAAATAAATATTTACAAGTATTGCATATAAAACATTCAATACCTAATTAATTAAAGTGCATTTATTAAATTGAATAATTATAAATATATTTCAAAAGGTACACTTCGTTCAATTTTCTGTTTTTATAATTGTCAATTATAAAAAACATGACTGAACAATATATATATATACTTATGTATCAATATGGCAGCCAGTATCAAAATTTTAATTGTATGGCTTGATTATCTAGAGAAATGTAGCAAAATTATGCACAATTCATATATAATTTCGTGGAAAAATGATAAGAGTAACAGTATAATTAAGAAAGAGATATTGCAGTATAGTTGAAAGTAAATTTAAAAACATTATTCAAGAAGAACATTTAAAATCGAAGCTATAGGTTATTAAATCTAAAACGTAATTCAAAAATGACAACATCAAAGGAATTAAATTTGGCCAGAAAAAGTCTTGTTGCATCGCTTGGTGAAAATGCAAAAGTGTAAGACACTTTAAATTTAAGAAATAAATAAAATTTACATTATAAACTTGAAATATATGAGTAAAGGTTAATCATGCATAATAAAGAGAATGTTAAATGTCATTATAAAGAGAATGTTAAAATTTAGAATCACTTCAAACGATTATAATTTTTCTAATTTTTTGCACTAAAAATATTATCTGCTTGTTTATGAATAATATAATTTTCAAACGTTGTTATTTAAAAATCTTATTTTATTGACAGGTACTTTGAAAAGATGAAGCTTTGGTTTCAAATGAAGGTACTTAACATTCCTATAAATAAATCTTTCAAAATATTTTACAATTAGTATCATTTATAAAATATTATTGTTTCAGACAACAAAAGAAGAATTTGACTGTGAAGCAAGAAATATTATGTCGGAAGACCAAGTTCATCTACATAATGAATTTCTTCTTTGTTTATTCAATAAAGTTAGAGGCTTAGCAGCTGCAACACCTACTCGCAAGATAGATAGAGATAAAACTATAAAAGAAAAGCGGTTAAGATTAAAACGCAAATATAAAACTGATAAATCAAACTTTGAGGTATGAAATTGTTAAGAAATATACTTTTTATATTAAAGAAATGAATGCTTTATGTGCATAGGTTGAAAATGTTCATATTTTCTATTTAGCCTGCAGATATATATGTTGAAGTATTGAGTCAAACTTCATCACCTGTTGGAGATGAACCTATTGGAGCAAATCGTTCTAGTGCTCAAGAACTTGTGCTGCCAGATAGAACTTTTGTTTTAGCAAGGCTAATGCTTGCAGCATGGGAAAACAATATGGACGGAGCAGAAGAGAATACAGCACATATAGTTATAGCAGCTACACAAATTTTTTTGAAAAATATACTTACAGCAATATTTACAAGAAGAAAAGGGTATGCTGTTAGAGATGGTTCATTCATTTATAACATTGGAGAACCAGTACCTAGTTCATGGAAAAGAAATTCCACTCATATATTACGTTCATCAGACCACATTGTAACAGAGATAGTAGATCCTTATGGTCAAGTACCTATAATAAAACCAAATATTGGAGAAGCAGAACATGCTACAGCTTTTGCTTATGCATGCTCTCCACAAACTATTCCACCTCCATTAAAACCTGTTAATACCGCTGATTTACAGCATACATTAAAGGTAAGAAAAGGTAATTTACTTAAAAATATTTAAATAATGGTTGATATTTCAGATTTTTAATACTTTTTTTATTTTAAACAGATGTACAAAAATCTTGTTAGTAATCACACTATTTATGCAACTAATATGGAACGTTTATTTATGTATGCGACACATCCAACATGGGAAGATCTTGAAGCCAAGAAATTATCATTGCACCAATCCACAATGTAAATATTTGTTGATGTAAATAGATTATTTTTTAAAACAATAAGATAAAAATGTAAATTGAAGACTTACATGTATTATTTATGATATTTTTTACGAAATATACTTTGTTAATAAAATTAATTTCTAATTAATGTGAGATA